CCATATACATATTATTGTTTTAATTGTTATTTCCTTTATTTTCTTTTCTGTTGTTCTTTTTTTGTTTGATATTTATATAAATAAATCTTGTCATTTCGTTTATTTTTTTTTTTTTCAGAATCCAGTTGCAACATCGTTCGAAATATTTTGGATGATATTCGAGCCAATATTGTTTGGTATAACGGGTACACAAATAAGAATTGACGAATTGAAAGGCAAAACTGTATACCTTAGTATAAGTTGTTTATTAGCCGGTATAATAATAAGAATAATCGTAACTATTATAGTTGGTATTGGTTGTAAATTAAATACTAAGGAAAAAGTTTTCATCGCATTATCTTGGATGGCAAAAGCAACAGTCCAAGCAGCCCTAGGACCAGTAACCCTTGACGAAGTTAATCAAGATGATACTGAACAAGTCGAATACGCTAACATTGTATTGACCATTTGCGTTCTTTCAATTTTATTAACAGCACCGGCCGGTGCAATAATCATATCATTGTCAGGACCAAAATTATTAACCAAAACTACGAACACTGGTGTACCACCGGATGCTTGGAAAAAAACTAGAAGACCATCTATGAGAGATATTTCTATAATTAATGAGGATCCTGATCTCGAAGAAACCGAAAACGATAGCAAACCTTGATTCATTTTTTCTTATTCTTATTCTTTTAACATTAGTTTTCTCTCTCTTATTATACACCTTTATTTTTTGTTCTTCTTCTTATTGTTTTTGTTTATTACTTACTTACGTAGTTTAACATTTTCATTATTATTTTATTTTGATTCATCGTCATCATCATTCTATCTTTATCTTTGATGACTACAGAAATAAGAAATACATATTTCTTTTTTTGTGTGTATCTCTTATTATTATATTTATTTCACTTAATGTCATCAATTTATTTTTTTCTTTTTCTTTTTCCTTTTTTTATTCTTTACCTATTTAATTTTATTATCACGATCAAAAGGGGTAGAAAAGAAAATAAAGGGATTATATATTTTAGGTATTTCTAAAGGTTTCTGACGAGATTTAGGGAAACGTATTTCTTATGGTTAAAATAATGGGAAGAATAATTGAGGAAACAAAAAATAATCGAAATTATAAAAATATGGAAATAATATTTTCCTCGTGTGAGAAATAAATACATGAAACAAAATATTTGAATTATTTTAACACTGGTTTTGTTTCTTTTATATTATAGGAAAAAGAAAAATAAAAAGGAAAAGAAAACAATACGATATACAAATAACAGTTTAATTATTTCTCATTAAACAAACAGATCTAATTTCTTATGGTAACAAACAATTTCAAATACATAAAAAATACAATTATGTAATTATTAATTATAGAAATAATATAAGACTAGGAAAGATAATGTAAATATATTATACTTTGCCTAATTAGAATAATATAATTATTGTAAATTGTTTTCTTTGTATATCGAATATATAATTAGATATTAAAAACTACAAAATATGATTTTAAATTTTCTTTCTAATATTATCAGCTTATTATTCCACGTAGAAATTTTTGTACATATATCATCTTAAATTGCTTACTTGCCTAATTCTAATGCCAAGACAATAAGATTTTATTAATAATATAATTATATAATTATAATATAAAATTTGAGAAGAAAAATAAATCATATGCAATTTATTTGTCGAATTATTATTATCATTGTAATCGAATGAATTAAATCAAAAATAACAAATCCAAAAATCATAATAATATTTAATAGAAGTAATAATACTTTCAAATGTGTATGGTACTTTTCAAATAATCATTTCAATGATAAAATGAAATATTTTTCATTGTCATCGAGACAAAAGAAAAAAAAATATAATATTTCACTTTTGCAATCAACAAAAAATTCTTCTCAAATTCATAGAAAAAAAATGAATGTTACGTTTATAATCAAATCGATTAATTGTATTATAAAATAAATATACAACTATTACACATTAATATATAAAAATGTTATACACGTATAAGACATTATTTTTCTTTTACAATAATATATAATATATAATATATCGAATTATATAAAAAAAAATATATATATATATAATATAAATATTTTAACGATAAAGAAAAAAATGTGATCCACACACACACACACACAGTCTTTGGGATAAATATTATTTTTCTTTCCTCTTTCCCCCTTTTACTTCGTCCTGTTTCCAAAGAAAAAAAAAAAAAAAAAAAAAAAAAAAAAGCAAGAAACGATATACTCTAGGATAGACAAAATAAAATAAGAAAACAGGAAAATTAGTGGGGACTCCTGGCACAAGACAACTTTTTCGAACCTTACTATTATTCAACACCGGTAACTATTTCGGAAGTTCGAAAATGAGAACGTAGGAACGAAGCTTATCAAATTTCTACTGTCGAAGATATCATATCTTTTTTATTTTCTTTTTTTTTTTCTTCAAGAAATCCAAAGAAAAAAAATAAGAAAAAAATAAGGCTACAAATTACACGTATTCTGCTAAGCGTACAAAAATGAGTGCAGTTGAAAAATATTTAAAATATTAAAATAATATACAATTAGAAAATACAAGAACTATATATATAATATTATAATGTATATAATATATATAGTATATAATATAATATATATGTAAAGAGAATGTATATAGTAAGTATACGAAGTAATATAGTTTTATAGAAATATATTAGGGAAACCGTAAAATAGTAATGTATTGTTTTTATTTCTAACATTAAATTTAAACACTGTTTTAAATTAAACAATAATCTGACAAATGATTAAAAAAATATTAATATACGTAAAAAAAATATTACTTTTTGATCTCCTCTAATATTTAATATACAATTATTTTTCTAACAATACATTGAGATAAATATATATATATGTAATACAACAATATCTAAATATAGAAAATACTATGTGTTATATTAATTAAAAAATATGTTTCTTACTAAAGAGTCTATTTTAAAATCAATAAAAAATATAATTAAACATATTTTTGTTCGTTTAAAACTTAAAAAAGAGTCGAATTGTACTCTTGTATAAACAATATTATATCTACTTTTATTATTTAATTAAATAAAACACAATAGAAAAGAAAATACAATTAAAATTCATCAATAGTAATAGAATTAATTAAACCAAAAATTAATTTTCCAAAAAATAATGACATTAAATGAAAAAATATTTAAAATAATCTCATTAAATTATTTTAAAATATTAA